ATTTTAATTAGTCACCATCAACAAGCCCCCATGTGTGTGCTGAATTTTTTCACACCTTCGAGGCACTTTTTAATCCGTGCAAACTGCTCAAGCCATTCATTTTCTCACTTCTATTTCCTACAAGGCCTTCCTGCTCCCCCCACTGGAACGAAAGCAAAGCACATCCCAGCTAGGCACTGCCAATGCAAATAAATGATAAAAACTTGTGCCATGTGGCAGAGGTAATTTTACCTGCTATTTCTTTCCCTGATAGTATAAAATATTCCCTCTACAGGTGCAGCTGAGCTTGAAAAGATTGCTAGGAGTTACTTTGGACTTTTGAACACCAGGCACATAGTGGAGAAGGAAAGAACCAATAGCCTGTTGCCCTCGCAGATGTAGGAATAACTTGGCATCTGTCTAGAAACAAATAAGGAAGAAGGACCCCCATAGGGCTGTGCACACAGAAGCATCTTCACTGTACTGTCTCACAACCCAAATTGTGCAAGTTTCAACATGACATAGAATTAGCAAGCACATGGTGAATTTTAACAAAACTGAGAACCTAAGTAATAATTCAGGCAGAAATCCAGATGCAACAGCACAAAACTAAGTAGCAACATGTACATATCACAGGTACTCATTACCAAAGCTACTATGAAGTTGCCAACTGCTAAAGAATGGTCCCCTTTCCCTTCCCTACTTAATGTAGTATATCTTCATGAACACAGGTTTAAAGAGCCCAATCTGACAGAGACACCATACCCTTAGTTTCTATACAGAGACTTTTTCAAGAGACACCTTGTTTTATTTTCTATGCTTTACATTGCTAGAGGTTTGACCTCTTTTGGCTGGGTTCTTCAGAAGGGACAAGCACCATGTGATGGTCACAGGGACAAGTACCTGTGACTGTCCTTGAGAGGTCCATGACTTGGTGGCAAGCATGAGGCCAGTGGTGAAGGGTCTTCAGAACACTAGGGGAAGGAGAGGGTTGTTCTGATCTGGGCTCTATTCCCCACCAATACAGTGATCTTGGGCTTCCTCTTCACTGACCCAAGCTTCAGACTCTTCTATAAAACTAAAGGTTGGGCTAAAAAGCCCAAGGGTCACAACCTGACTCTCTGAAGCATGCGGTGAAGTGTGTAAAAGATGGTTTCCTCATCGGCCATACTCCAGATCACTAGGAAAGGGCCTCACATAGAGAGGTATGAGGTGAGCTTCCCAAAATCCAAGACTGATTGGGGGAACTATCTCAGCCCTGGGACATAGGTGTCCCCAAGTATAAAGGTAGGTGGCCATAACTGCTGAGGACCCAGTTGTCATATTTAGATAGGGTCACTGCCCTTGTTTTGTTTCTTGCAGGTCTCAGAGACTGAACTGTCTGTGAGAAGGCTGGAGGAAGTAGATAAAAGGAACCAAACAAAAGCACACTTATCGTCCTGGTCCCATCTCTCCCCTCCCCCTTTTGTCATGGAAAATTTCAAACACACATAGATGAACAGTTGACATACATCCATGTATCCACCTCACCAACGGTCAACTCGTGGGCAACTGTGTTTCTTCTACACCTCCAACTAGTCTCGTCTCCTTCCCTCAGATTCTTTTCTTTCTTTTGCTTTCAAATAATTTTTGTAACAGTTATAATTGGGAGATAAGTCACAGACCATAGAATTCACCCATTTAAGTATGAAGTGCTTCTAATTATTTTTTAATTGACAAAAAACTGTAAATTTTTATGGTGAACAACCTGAGGTGTATATGTATACAAACATATAAGTATGGAATATGGCTAAACCAAGCCATATTCCATATGTCCTTTGCTACCTGTTTTTGTATGTATGGTAGAAAAATTTTAAATCTGTTCTTTTAGCAATTTTGAGTGTAAAACAGATCGTTACTGACTATAGTCATCACATAGATCTCCTAACTGAAATTTTATAACTTTTTATCAACACCTCAAATTCTTTTTGAAGCCAATCTCAGTCATCAAATCACTTCATCTGTAGAAATTTCAGTATATTCTTTAGTATGGACTCGCCTTTAAAAATAGAACCAGAGTATCACTGTCATTCCAAAAAAATTCTTCAATACCATCAAAAAATCTTTACATTTTGTTAATTTTCTGGAGTTTAAGATGTTGTTTACTTGATTTGTCTGGCCCTAACTATCAATGTTCCAGATCCAAACTCTCTGATCCACTTAACATTTAACATCTCTGGTCTCACAGCCCTACCAACACCCTTTCCTTCAACTCCAAATATCTGTATCTCTTTTCTTTGGAGGCAGTCTTGCTGTGCAGCCCTGGCTGGCCTCCAACTCTTGATCCTCCTGCGTTCACCTCTAGAGTAACAGGATTAAATACACGAACCATCACATATAATCCTTGTAATGTTTAAGCAGAGTTAAAACCATGCCATACTTAAAGAAGACCTTTTATTTTTAAATAGGTATCTTGAGTTTTTATTTTATTTAAAAATTTTATTACCATAAATTAATTACATAAAGGGATTTCATTGTGCTATTTATATCATGCATATAATGTACTTTGATCAAATTCACCCCATTGATATTACTCTTTCTTAACCACCCTTCCTCTTCCCCCCTCCTTTTTAACAATTTTTGGTGGGTTTTATTGTATTATTTCCATACACCTATATAATGTACTTGTGTAATATTCACCCCTTATCACCCTTTCTCTTCTCCCTCTTCCCACTCACTGATTCTCCCTTGAATAGTCCTCCTTCTACAATCACGACTTTGTTTTTTAGGTCTAGTTTCTGCAGTTGGGTGAAAACGCTCTTTCTGAGCTTGGCTTACTTCACTTAACATGATGATCTCCAATTCCATCCACACTCCTGCAAAAGACATAATCTCATTCTTCAAAGAAGACATTTTAATCATCCAACAGAGCCAGACCACTCCCTCCTATGAAATTCTATAGCATTTAATGTCTGGCTTCAGTCTTCTTATTGTTTGGTAGAGTTGGTTCTTTTCCCACAATAAACAAATTATCATCCTAATGTGATTCTATGTTGTCTGAGTGTTGTGACATAATTTTTAAAAACTCTCTGTAACTTTAAGTTTTTTTTTTTTAATGTACAACAGGAGCTCAAAGTACACAATGATTTAAAAATTTACCTTTTACCAGGTACATTAATGAAGACTTTTTCTCTGTGAAACCATCAGCTTAGCTTCCTATGCTCCTTTGTAAGTATTTCAATTCTATGTGAAAATAATTTTTCTGGCTTAACTTATGTAAGCTGTGTGAAAAGTTGTTCAGAAAAGGACCTTCCCCAAATAAAGCAATTCTGTGAGGTCAGGATGAGTGAAAGAATGGATTTTCCAGCCTGTAGGACAATGGACATGCAGGACCGAGGACAAGCAATTACCTTGTCACACCATGACCAGTGTTATAAAATGTGAGCCTCCCATACTTCTTTGGCTGGTGAGATGTTCCAGAACATTCAGAAGGAGAATCCATTAATTTCTAGTATGTGCCACAAGATGATATTTTGTTTTCTACAATATAATATCAAAACCCCGGAGTTCCTCAAACACACTTCCTGCATGGTAGCAATCCTCAGTAATTACTGAATGGCTAGACGCCAGAGGATCTTCCTAACATACATTCCAGAACAGATGTGTGCACTTGAGTCAAGCAGAGGCATTGCTAAAAGTGATGGTGACACAGGGTGCTGCATGAAAGGTACGCTTAAGGGCAGCGGAATGCTCAGGCTCTGCTCTGTAGAGACTCATTCATGTGCTCCAAAGAGCAAGCATCTCACTGGGCAGAGATAATATGATTTTCTTAGGGACTAACTAGATAAGAGACTCATCCCTGGGTTTTCATCAGCACAGAACAGAAATCAGTTTTGAATATCATTACTTATATCTTATCCATAATCCAGGCTGTGCTTTAAACATTCCTTATTAGAAGTGACAAATGTTGCTGTAATTCCTTTGAAAAGGATTATTATACCAGGGTCTGGTTCCCATATTATTAAGATCTTTCAGAATGGGAGGTACAATAAATATTTGATGGCATCCTTCCTACCATTTCTTGATGCACAATTTTGAAGAGCTCCAGGGTGTTAACAATGATAAAATTATGAAATAAACATTTCCCTCTCATAACAGAAAGGAAGCTCCTCGTTCCTTAATAGGGATGGGATAAAACTCTAAGGTTACAACAGAAAATGTTATGAACAGGCTGTTATATTTGTGCCTCCTGTATGCCCAAAGAAGATAAAGGAACAAATCTGAGGATAAAATATGCCCTTATACATGTAAAAATATGTTTAAAAAGAGCCTGCATGGTCAGGCATAGTGGTACATGCCTGTAATCCCAACTATGTGGAAGGCATAGGTGGGAGGACTATAGTCCAAGGCCAACCTAGCCAAATCTTGAGACCCTATCTGAAAAACAAACAAAAAACTACAAGAACTGGGGGCATGGCTCAAGCAGTAGAGTGCTTGCCTAGCAGCAAGCACCAGGCCCTGATTTGAATCCCTAGTATCACCACACACACACACACACACACACACACACACACACACACGAATCTGCATGAAGAGATGAGAATAAAACTTTCCAGCTTCTTAAAAATGTTATTCAAATTTGTAGGTCAAGACGAAAATGGTTATGAGTTGAGGCAGGTCTGAGATGAATGGTATAAATAAGGCAACAAAACCAGGAAGACTTTCAAATAGAATCTAACTAGCAAAATTCATAGGAATGCTTAACACTTATTCTAATACACCTGTTAGAATAATCATCTGAAGTAGCAACCAATATCACAGTTATTTAAATATCAATTACCATAGCAGATTTTGCAACTATCAGTTAAAAGCTGCATAGTCAAATTACATTTCCTGAAGCTAAATATATAATCATTAAAACTTGGAACTTTTACTGCATTCCTGAGCTTCCTAAGAGACACAAGCCACTTGTCACAGTTGCTACGAGACGAATGTTTACATCACACATTTCTGTAGCAGGAAGGAAAATTATAGGTTCTTACCAAGTAATCATCAGGCTTGATACCAAAAAGTTCTCTGAAGTACCGAAATGCTAGCGGAGCATATGTCTTGAATCTGAAGTCTGGGTAGTGATGTGCTGGGGTCAGATTGCTCCCTTCGCTGCAGTTAAAATACAGAAAAGGAGGTGGAGAGGAAGAACATTACCAAAGACAATTTGGACTGTAAATTCTAGTTATATTAGTATGGATCTCAAAACAATTGGTCTCAGAGCTAATGCACAAAGGCCAGTGGCCCTCAGGTAAAAACAGATGTTAACTTGGTGATGGGCCACTGCACGCAGGCATTCCTGATCAATCACAGAGTGCTTCAGCCTGAATATTCTCATCCATCTTCCCACCCCATTTCTCTTTCATGGGAAAACCATCTGTCTTCCCTTGTGAAACCACATAGCTATGCAAAGATCCAGGGCTTGCTGAACAGAGTGATTTCAAAAACACATTTTTTTGGCCATGGATTTTGGATACTGAATATGCATTTGTTACCAGGAATAAGTGAAATAATTCTTAGACTATCCCACCAGCCAGAAAGAACCATCACACTGCAATTAGATGGGACCTTAATCTGAATTCTTTCTCCTAGGCAGATTTTCCAAAAAGAGACCTAATGGTGGTACGTGCCTGTCATCCCACCGACAGCAAGATGCATAAAATAGCAAGATCTGGACCCAGTTGGCCTGGGCAAAAAGCAAGACCCTACCCCTAAAATAACCAAAGTAAAAAAGTCTGGAGTATGGCTCAAGCAGCAGTGTGCCTATCCACCAAGCATGGAGACCAAGTTCAAACTCCAGTATCCATGTGTGACCTTAAATATTTTGGAGATTTGAAAACTTGATTTTGATTCCCAAATAATCTTTATTTTTTCTTTCTCAAGATTCATTTTTGAAAAACTTTTAAGTAATATTTATGATATGTAAGTGATATAAAGAAACAATCCATGAATGCCCATGAACCCAAAATGCTAAGCGATAAAGCACCATCCATACAGGCGAGTTCCCTTCTCTACTTTTACTGACTATGTCCTTAGGGGCACTGGGAAAGTGACACAGGAACTAAGGCTGACTGAAAGAAGAGAAGCCACCATCCCCATCTCAGCATGGAACGGCCCCAGTGTTGCCTGCTCCTTTAAAGGGCTGTTGTTTTCCTAAGCAAGTATAGCTGAATATTCCTAATGTAGGTGAAATGTCGTAGTAATATACCTGGACATTTCTTTATTTCTCATTCTATATTTTTCAATTTATGATGACAAATGCACTCAGCTGTAGGTCTCCCAGGATTGTCAAAGGGATGATCCCAGAATGCATCTAACATCTAATAATTTGTAAGTGTAGGCTGCGTAGAAATAAGGGGTAAAAGCTAAGAGGCTCAGAGTGACCTCTGACCTCCTTCTCTTTTGCAAGGAGGCAAAAACATTTCCAATGCCGGGTTCAGAAGGAGGCTGCTTTCAGTGGGCCAAGAGTATCACCAATGTCTTATTTCTTCTGCTTTCTGTTTTACTTCCTGTCTTATACAATCAAAGACATTCGTGCTATTAGAGGATTTCCTTCAACATTGAAAAAGGTGAGATGAAACACCCAGGGGTCCACTCACATGGAGATTTTCTCATTATTAGGCAGCTGGGATTCCAAGATTCTATCAGAGAAGGTAGAGCATTTATTATTCCTTCTGGTTTTGGTTAATTCTGAGCTTCTTGGGTTGCTCACCTTGGCTTCCATTAGTTATAATCATTTTCCTGGGATACACAACTCTTTGACTACTGTGTTTAAGTCAGTCATGGTGTTAGGATAGTACTAGGTTTCCTTGGAAATGAGACAGACAGACAGACAGACCCGCAAGCTTACAGGTACACACAGCAAAACATCCCCAGGTACAAAAGGGGAACAGCTAGTTTAAAAAGCCACCAAATCACAGAGAACAAAAGAAGATTTCAATCTAGCTAGCTTTGGGGCAATTTAAGCCTCTGTGGGTAGGCTTGCCTGTGTGGGACAATCAATAGATTATGTATGTGTAAATGGAGAAGATACAAAGGGCAAGGACATAACACTTACTGGAAAATTATAAAGAGTGGATAATTAACATATATTAATTAATAATTAATTGCTAAGGTTACACAATCTCAGATGCCTTTCTTTGTATGAGTGAAGAGAAACATTCCCAAATGGTCAGCCCTATAAATTAGGATCATAATACATGACCACTTTTTGCTTACTTTTTCTCTCCTAGTGGATTTTTGCCTTATGAATTATTCCTTCCTTTGACTAATGTTTAGAGTAGTTTGTACTCTCTGGGGTCATGCTGGAAACCCTGCATGGTAATTAACAGCATGGATTTTAGAGTTCAGGAAAATCTGAATTCAAATTCCACCTTAGAAGCTATGTTCTTGAGGCCAGTTCTGAACCTCAACAAATGAAGTGGCAAAGTGAATAGACTTGTGCAGTATGCAAGGTGTGTGCGAGCCCTCCATACAGTTGGGTGGTTAAGGAGGTCTCACAACAGGAAACAGCCCAGAGGTAAAATCTACGTGTGAAGAATGAGTTGATCATGTAGTAAAATAAATAAATAAATAAACTGACAAAATGGGAAAAATTTTGCAAGTCATATAACAAAGGGCTAATCTCTAAATATAAAAAGTTTAAGTAAACTCCAAAGAAAACAGCCAAAAAGTTAACTTAAAAGAATAGCCAAGAATATGATCAGACATTTCATAGAAATGTAACTACACATGATTTAAATATATGAAAAGAAACTCAACATTCACATTCATTATAGAATAAACTCTGTTCATAATAGAACAAATGTTACTGAGAGACCATTCTACATATGAGATGGTGAAAACTACAAAACTTTGATGTAGCTCCAAGGAAACTAACACTTTGAAAAGTCATACAGTAGAAACGTAGTAGGTCAATACTTAGACCATGGAGAACACTTTCACCACTTGTATCAAAACTGCAAATGTATGTAACTCTTTGATTCAGCAAATGTATGCTTAAAAGTTATCTTACAGATCAACTAGAATATGCACAGAACAACCCACGTGTACATGGTTATTCTTTAATAGCATTGTTTATAACAACAAAGGATTAGAAGTGACCTATAAGCCATGGTCAAAATAATGATAATTTTGTGATAAAATCAAATATTATGCAGTAGAAAAAAGAATGAGGATGCTTCATATGTATTGACATATGAGTTCTCTAGTATAAATGTCAAGTGAATGAATACATGCTTCATTGTTATGAATGGTATGACATGCTACCATTTGTATAAAAAAGGAGAAAAAAGTGTGTATTTTGGAGGGTTTAAACTCATGGCCTCCAGCCTACTAGTTAGGGGGCTCTACCACTTGAGCCATGACTCAACCCTAGGAAAAAATATTCTTTTGGCAATTTCTTTGAAGGAAAAACAAGCCATTAGTAACAGTGAGCGCTGGAGTAGACACTGGGCAATAAAGACATAGGGACAAAGAAGCACCTCTCACAGTTTTATTTTTAGAAATAGGAAAAAACTCTACTATGCATTAGTACAAATTATAATTTTTAAAAGTTAGGAGTTAAATGTCACAAGTTTTGACAATTAGTTCCATCAGGACAGTGGAAAAGTCACAAGGTGATGGGTGAACCTAAACTTAGAGTTACTCCATCTCTGTTAGTCTTCTTGGTTCAGCAGAGTTCCTGCCGAAACGGCCAAATTCCTTCTGCATGAGGTCCTTGCATTGCAGGCTCACTTTCAGGAGATTGGATTAGCTACACGGCAGTGTTCTCATCTGTATAGACTGTGACCTTTTATTATTTTTTGGTGGCACTGGACTGAGAGAACTGGTGTTAAATAATGAAGTAAAACTAATTTAGAGACTCAAAGACATGTACGGAGTATAGTTCTAGAGCTGAGAACCACAACTTTGTTGCTTGTGGGGTGGCATTTTTGATTTGGTGAGTTTTCTTTCTTTAAAATTATAACTATCAGGTGCAGGTTGGAGCCTTTTATAGAACAAATAGATCAGCAACTCCTAGGTGACAGCAACAGGTTTCACTAAAGGATGCTAAACCTTACTTTTGCTCAGCAAACATGACCACATCCACTGCAAGGAAAGGTAAGTGAAGGATGCTTTGTCCTAATGGCCAAACATCACACTGAAAATTTTAAGTGGCAAATTACCAGACTGGTCTAGTAACAAAGCTTTGGAGGCACCCCCATTTCAAACTGGACCTGTGTAAGTCAGGGTCCATAGAAGCAGATGGAGGCCTTATTCATTGCAATTCAGACAGTTAATAACTATGTTAGAACCCCTTAGGGTTCCATATACAATCCTTTCTTTAACTTGTAAAATATAAGTTGATCTTCTCTCTTGCCAAACTAGGTAGTCCACTTGAATGGAAAAATAAAACAAGCAAGACCAAAGACACTGTCCTTGCTGGCACCCACCTCCCTCTGCTGAGTGCTGCGGTGATAGCCATGTGAGCGACACTAGGTACAAACAGGAGGCTGTGCCATCTTTTGGGGCTAACAGGCTGTTAATCTTTAAAACTCAGTATTCAAAGACAGCTGATATTCCAAAAACAAACAATGCACTCTGGGGTGATATAACTGATTACCTAAATGTTAACCATGTCAAGAAGTTACTGTCATGCTGGGAAAATACATTTTGAAGGCAACTTCAATTAAGGCAAAATGTTCTACGACATCCAGTGTATGCAGTAAATCTTTTATTTTGGGCTAAAGGAAGAGGCAGACAATTTCTATTAATAGGAAATCTCTTTTTCTCCACCTTCACCAAATAAACATGAAATATTTGAAGAGTTTTGACTTGAAGGGACATCATATATTATTTGTTTGCCCAGAATCAGCCACACCTTACTGAATCCTGGAAGACCATTCTGCCAGCTTCATGTTCTATCCACGTATACATAAAATCAGGTGCACAATGTCTGTGTAGACCCAGGTGTGGCAATCTTTTCTGTTAAGGGCCAAGTGGTAAATATTTTAAGCTTTGTAGGCCCTATAGTCTTTGTGGTGATTACTCAGCTGTGCTGTAATTACGGAAAGGTGCCACAATTCACAAATAAACAGACGTGGCACTGTGTTTCAATGAAGACTTTACAAAAA